AAAATAAAGTCTGCGTTGTGGCATTACGCAAAGCAAAGTGCCATACTTGCATTGCGTGATGCCACAGCGCAGACTTAATTTTGAGGTCTAAACAGATGTTCCGCCTCATCGTTCGCTGAGCTGATTTCATAGATCGAAGAGATTGGCTCTGAAAGTTTTTTGCGGGGGAGTAAACGCACAGGCATTTCTTAGAGTGCACTATCCAGAGACATGACTTGGTTTGAAAGTGTCAAAAAATTATGATTTCTAACACGTATTAACAAAGACTGTCAATAGTTTTTTTTTGCAATGCAATTAGACGTCAATTACAGTAGAGCGCTGCCGATCCGGTGGAGTAAAGCTGAGGCTGAAGCACTTTTTATTCGTTCTGTTGACAAACCAGTGACCGACGGCACTATGAACCTACACCTACGATCTCCCCTATTTCTTTTTCTGACTACATCGCCTACAACAACAGCATCGTTCTCTGGAGATACATCAACTGGAGCCCCGCGCCACTAGCCTTCAAAGAGGGGAGTTCCGGATTATTTGGTGTCCCGGCTTTTTGTGAACCGTAATATATGCTATTATTATTATCATCGTTAAACACGTCACCAAAAATGCCGCAAACTACTCGATGCAATCTAAGCACGGCCTTCATCACGAAGCTCGCCTTAACACTTCCTTTTTTTCGGTATCTTCTTTAAATCGCACGAGAGCTAATTATTATAATGCACATGTTATTTGCAAATCCCAAAATTAAAAAAGAAATACTGGTAAGAACCCATTTGTGACGTAAACAGGTGATAGACACCAACGACTGCTCAAATTAAGTGCATTGTCAAAACTTGCCATGCTGGAAGCGAGAACAGCAAAAAACAGCAAGCACAATATTGTGTTCATATATGTTTGAGATGTGACGTAAATTCGTTTTAAACCCGGCCTAAAACGAACGAGAGTCGAATGCGACTCACGAAGTGGACACGGGCACTGGAAAGCCGTCAGGCTTATTTATAAGCGAGATCGAACACTCACACGGAAGACTGGCTTTTCTGGAAAACGTGACCAGGTTTTCAAAGATGCAAGTCTCATTCCATCAGCATTGAGCAACAGCCGATATGTTATTTTATAATCCTATTGAGGTAAGTAACAAATACTTACAAAAATGGTAACGCCCATTTTACTTTGAGATAGCGATGTTGAAGAAAAAAAATAAAATGAAGTCAACTAAGAACACACGATTAGTGTCAACACTCGATCACATTCAGTAGTCCTTGTAGACGGTCCGCGCCTAGAAAGTTCCCGAACAAATAATTATGTTATCATGTTTTCTACACTCTCAATGATTGCGAAATCTCGGATCGAACTGTGACAAGTAAGTCTGCCGGCATATAGTTTTAAGATTCTAAATTGTGGCTCCGGTTTGCTGTTTGGGGTCAATTATCGGGGTGTTGCATATGCATGTAGGAGCAATGCACGATTTTATTCTAGCATTAAAAAACAAAAGATAGAAACGCTTTAATGATATACCGCAGACACAGACATATTCGGCACTTTAAAAAAGACTTGTGCGTCTGCTTTCCCGGACAACACTCGGAGAGCCAATCGCCGCAACTTACGGAGGCAGCTCAGCAAATGACGATGGCGAAACATATGTTTAGACCAAAAACGCAGTCTGAGTTGTGACATTACGCAATGCAAAATGTCACGCTTCCATTGCTTAATGTCACAACTCAGACTGCGTTTTTTGGTCTAAACATATGTTTCGGCATCGTCATTTGCTGAGCTGCGTCCGTAAGTTGCGGCGATTGGCTCTCCGAGTGTTGTGCGGGAAAGCAGACGCACGGGCCTTTTCTTAGAGTGCACGAGAACACTAAGCTGCCTTTAATCAACCTTAATCAGATATTAGAAAATGCGCACCCAACGTGCAAAAATATTAGGGAAATTTCAGTACGCGCTCGAGCGCACACACATATTTGCGACACGTACGCTGCCGGAACAATGATATACGATAAGTTAATTGGTGCTAAACGTTAACACGAGTATTAAGTGGCATCTTGCATTGTTGCTTTATATTTAGCTTATTTTATATTTTTAAAAGGAGGTCGGTAAAGCGTCATTCATTTACTAGTTTAAAGAAAGGACAGTCCTTCGAACATGGCGGAATATGACGACAATGAACGCACGCAGGCGGCTTAGGTCAAACATCATTTAGCAAGTGCATTGCGCAGTTTTCTAGTGTTTTATTTTTAGATGTTCAATATGCGTTTGACTTATTGATGTTTTATATTTTGAGACAGAACTGCTTAACAAAAAGTTCCACGAAAAGTGGTGCAATCTGTGGAAAAAAAACTAAACATATATATATATATATATATATATGCCTCAGAAAACGACCTTACATTTGGGTTCACTGTGATCAAGCAGCTTCCGTGAAGCACTTGCCCAACCCAGTCCACCAAGCAAGGAAACTTTTGGTAACTTTATCATTAATAGCATGTCCAGCTCGTTTAGTTCTAATCTTTAAAAAAAAAATGTAGCTAAGTGTTGCGTCGAAGAAATCTCAGAATGATGAACACATCCACGGAAATACGTCTCGTAAAAATCAAGACGATACGCAACACAACAAAAATAATAATATAGTTAGTGTTGGAAACGATATCCCATTTCCTCGGCGTCAAGTTCCCTTCACGGAGGAAATCCGGGACCATGTTATTACAGCGAGCCTGTGTTTGGCAACTTTGTTGTCATTGCACCCTTATATTCTTGCTTTATCACGGGCATGCCAGCAGCATACCCCGACCACTGAGTCCTGATAAAACGCTTCAAGAGAAAATAAAACAAAAATAATGGTTCGCACATTTATCCGTTGAGTCTCGTAACCAAACAAGAAAACGAGGCCGTTCTTTCCAAACACTTCCATAGATTTTCCTCTAAGCCGTTCCAAAATATTGCGCAGTTGGAGCGTGAGAGAGCCGTTTCAAAGATCAGATATGGCTCCAACAGGGTCGTTCAAGCGGTCCAATTAGGTATGACGTAATCCAGACTCTTATATATGTTGTTTTTGCTTATAGTGCGGCACGTAGCTAGAGAAGAAAAAATGTTGGAAGAGGAAGACAGGGAGATTAATCTGGGGTATTTCTTACAGTTCACTACCCTCGCAGAGAACGTGAGACGAGGAACCTATAGTAAGGCTCATATTTCACACCTTCCGAACAAAGAATGTTTCTTGCAATAAATTCCTGTCTGCGAAAAAAAATAAACAGTACCATGGGTTGCCAGTATCACACAATATTTTCCAAACTGTAACGTTCGTTACGCGATGACGAAACATATATCTTTATCTTTTTATTCTCGTAGGGATTACCGACTTATAATTGTGTTGTCTTTATGTTTATACAGCCGGACGTTAGACGGCCTAAATGGACGTCTGATATCTCAGCTATAGACGAGAAATTTAGCCGGTGCAGTACGACCTCTAACCTGGGGTATTGAACGTGCACCATGCAGTAGTGGTACACGACCGTACACCGGTAGCATTCTCATTGAGATCGAAACGGGGAGGGGCGTGTATTTAACCGAGGATCCGTGGGTTCTGCAGCGCGAGCTTTCGGTCCACGCGCTCCGAGCTGCGGTACGCTAATACACTCCGCCATCGATCGCCCTGGTCACTGATTTGCCTTGTGCACCGTGTCAATAATAATAATTGCGTCATACGTATATAAACATACATAGACCATAAGTATTACTATTAAAGCCAAGTCAATTACGCAAAACAATTATGACTTTCTAATTGTCCTAGCAACTCCCCATTTGTAAGCCCCACACTTTTATTCTTTATTCTGAATTCAGTTTAATAGACCTTTTTGGGAAGTTTTAAGGGCCTCTCGTCAACCCCAAAAAGCGCTGCGCTGCGCTGCGCTGCGCTACGCGGGGAAGGTGACGCCGTTCCAATGTGCGCTCGAGCCTGCTCGTACGCACCTTACATCCTGAGGCTAACTGAATTTCTTCTCTTACCACTGCAAGCTCGTAACACAAAGAAAACAAAGCGAGCAGGTCACAGTGCGTATACGAGCTTTGTTTTGCTATCTACACGTTCTCTCTTTATCTCTTTGTTTTTTTGCGTTCTGAAATATCGAAATGCTAAACAAACATCCTTTGCTCCTGCTATATATGAGAATTCCCTTCAGGCACCATACATCGGATTGCCGTAGTGCGTCGAAACAACTGTGCGTATATACCGAATATTCTATTTTTCCCTGTATTCAATAAAAACTGGAAAACAAATATTATTTACTTTGTGCATATCTCAGTCAATGATTTTGTTACCCAGGAGGCTAACACTGGAGTAGAATTAAACATGTGCTAGCTGGAGCCATCAAACCTGGACGTATGTGTATGTGTAAAATATGTGTAAAATATGTGTAAAATACAAAATAATCTCAGGTCTCACCGAGCGCCGTATATAGATCTCGGAATTGCAGAATGCGGCAGCGCGAAGCCCACCGCCAATATATCGTACAAACGACGGTCTGCAGACACTAGAAAGTTTTAAGGAACCGTTTTCGCACGTCCGACACGGTAGGATAGGCCCTCCAGTACTCCAGTATGAATTGCGCATGCGCAAAACTCGTGCGGTAGTATATGTGCATTTCGTACCTGAGGGCCTATCGTGCCGTATCGGATGTGCAAAAACAGTTCCCTAAAACTACCTACTGTCTGCAGACCATGCTCCAAACCTACATATATGTATATAAAGCAAATATACTTAGAAAATGCTTGAGACGTGTTCGCAGATAAATTTGTCATCATGTCTGCGGCGAACATTTTGTCTTTCGAATGATGTTTACGAGTAGTGTGACCGCCCCTGCTCATACAACAAATCCAGTGTATCTACTTTCCCACAAAGCACCTCGGAGAATGCAGTAGTGCCGCGGATGTGCGCGAGAGCCTTTTTGTTGTCTGCGCTCCTCGACCGAGTTTAAAACGTGAAAGAAAACAAAACTCCGAGCCGCACTCACGTCCAAAGAGATGCCCGACGAGCGTCACCGGCAGACAGAACACAATCACCATGAGGTCTGCGACGGCCAGGTTCACCAGGAGCATGTGGAAGGCCGAGTTTTTCATGGACGTGTTGCGGCTGACTACCTTGAGCACGCAGCAGTTGCCCACGATGCCCACGACGAACACGACCGAGTAGGCGACGCAGTAGGCCACGGCCCATGGTGCCGTGTGACGCAAGAAGCAGGCGTCCACCCAGTCTTCGCTCACCAGGGTGTCCGGCGGTTCCTGTGTGACCAACAGAGGCACCGCGGCGGTAGCCAGCATGGGGAAGGCGGACCCGTTGCCGGAGTCGCTGGACTTCCCGGCGCCGCTGGTGAAAGTGCCCGTCAGGGCAGGCACCAGGGTCGACAACGTCCAGTGATAGAGGCCGTAACAGTTGAACGTCAGGTTGGCCCTCCGCATTCGAAGAGGCCGGTGGGGACCGGAAAGAAGGGCGGCTGCTGGGGTGTGGTGGTCCGTAATGGAGCGGCTGCAGGGCCACCGCACTGCGTAGCTATAGGTAGTCAGAAAGCAGCATGTTTTTCCTAATTGATGTTGATGATGCTAAGTGACACAGCAAACCTGGTTCTTCGGAAGTATTGGAACTATCAACAGCAAAAATAGGTCAGCTAATGTGTGAAGTGCATGATTACATGTTGACACTGTGATAAACAAAGAAAATGTTAGGATCACTGACAGCTAAACGCAAGACGCTTATCACTTCGCAGTCACTTAGATCGCGGCATGAGCCGAAGAAAACACCAAATAATGAATCACTAAGTGGGCATAATAAGTCACGATCTGGGTTCCAAAAGCTCTCAATATGAATGAAACCTCAAATTTTGGGCCCATCGCGTCGGCAACTGACGCTGCGGAAATGTTTCACCAGGTGTGTGTGTTTCTTTCTCACGCCTAAACTCACTATAGATGACAAACAGGTTACCCTTGCCCAACTTCGGCGATTTGGGCACATGTCATGCCAATGACGTTAGAAAAAACAGCGGGGAAAACAAAAAGACCCCCTCTGAGGCTGTCGGCACTGCGCGTCAACCACCATTCTGAGATGACTGCTTCTGATAAAGTATGTAACGCGATATCTAGAAAAATATATTATAAAAAAACGTCGCGACGCTTTGAACTGATTTTTTAACAGCCTAGTTAAACGGACAAAAATATAAAAACAGAGTGAATGAATGGTCAAATAACGTAATATACCTTTTAGAGCGCTTAGGCTCTGAGGCGTTCCTTTTCGCGTAGAGCGGCGTTGCCGTCGCCGTAACCCCGCTAACTTTAGCGGCAAAACTGACGTCACATGACCTTGACACCAATTCAGTTTCCCCACTAGATTGAGCGGGAAACTGAATTAGTGCTAAGGTCGTGTGACGTCAATTTTCCCGATAAATATAGGGGAGAAACTGAATTCATTCATGGGTGACGTGACACGAATCTCATGGGAGGTGATTTTCCCCGCTAAATTTAGAAGGGAAACTGCATTGCTCTTGAGGTCACATGGCTTGAATTTTCCAGCAAACTTTTTGCGGAAAACTGTGGAAAGGGGGTAATCAAAAGGAAGAGGAGAGGGTAGGAGGAGGAGGATGGGAGGGTATGCAGGAGAAGGAGGGGAGGGTACGGAAAAGGAGGCATGTATATCTTTGATGAGGAGGAGAGAAGGACAAGAAGGAGAGGAGGAGGAGGGAACCCTCCCGCGTACCCTCCATCCTCCTCCTCCATACCCTCCCATCACGATATATCGCAAAATCAAAATACCTCAAGAGCTGCGCTCTAATTTGCAGTTACAGAGATTTGTAAAAGCATTTTAATTTTTTTAAACTGAAAATTGCACCCGTGAAGAAATAAAACTACGTCAATTGTTTTGAGAATGATTAACTAAATTTGTTCTAAAACGGACGAACAATTTGTGGTAAGAAAATTTGTTGTACAGGCGAACTAATTAGAAATTTAAAAAAAAAATTGCGATACAACTCTTTCTTTTAATAAACAGCTTTGTAAATAAGTAATGCTGTGGGACATTATACAAAAACGTGCAAGTAGTCATCAAATGTAATATCTGTCTTATAAAGGCTTTTAATGTTGTTAATGGTGGTCAAAGCTAAAATATGAGGAGGAAAAAATAAATCATGACCCGAAGCTTTTATCTCAATTTCAAACGTGGCCTCCTCACACTTTATTCGCAACACGAAGCTGTCGCAATTCCATTCATTCTCAATGGCAAACGACTTGACGGAGGTTTTGTGGAAAACGTTTTGGTATACTTACAAAAAAGTATAGGCTGTTGCTGTTTTTTTTTTTTTTAAGCCACCTTTTACGTGTGCAAAAAAGAAGAAAAGCAAATCCGAGACTCCCTTTTTTAAACATTTTGTTTTCTTACCTAAAATGCGACACATTTGCTTGCAAAAGAATTGTAGGGATGCCTATTTGTGTTTAGAGAAACCACCCGAAAAAAGAAGGAAAATTATTCCTTACCCTCTTCGCTGAAGTAGTTGCTACTCCAGAATCGGGCTGCGTCGCATGTGAACGCACGATTTACGCCGAGACGCCGAAACAGTAGAACGCCGACCAGAGGTTGCTGAAACAGGGCAAGAGTCTTTGTCGCAACTCACGGTTAAACTTTAGCGGGCCCACGTCAACAACTTCTACAAAAGAAATGTTCAGCCGATATTAAAACGAGTTGCGTACTTAAAGTGCATTGGGCGGCTGCACAGAAACCATACAAAACGTTTTGAGGCTGTAAACACGTGTGCACGTGTAAAAGCACGTTTGCAAATTGAATGAATGCAAGACATTTATGGGGTTTCGCCGGCGCGATGTATTCTAAATCCAGAATGTTGCCAGAGTAAAATGTGCGCATACAGTTTGTGGCAAGGTTCTATTTTCTTTTTCTAGTGTAAAGGGCAATCGAGCCGTAGTTGACTCACTTCACTTTCATCGAGCAGCCGGTGGCCGAAAGCAAATTACTATAATGAAGTCTTTCTATCGGGTCGACCTTCGTGTTTACAGTATTATCTTATCGCTTCTTTTTCGGCAGCTCAGAGCTCAGCACTTTTTTATTTATTTATTTAAGAAAAGACTGCGTCACCGTCGAGTTGTCTTGCGCCCGGGGAGCGGGGGGGGGGGGGGGGGGAAGGGGGGGGGGATGAGGTGCTCAAGACTCAGCCCTGCGTTCCTTAAGCAGTGACCATATATTAAAAAGGGATTATCTATAAACGTAATGTATTATACAAGAGCTATTATCGATTCAACTTTATGTGGACTATGGAACTCACAAGCTGCAAAAATCGTGATCAAACATATTGAAAATTTTGTCAAGCACGTCCTCGGGCAAACCCCTTACAAATGTATATTTGAAAAATGTATCAAGAATACATTTAGGCGCTTTATCCTACTTTGCAAACTATTCTCGAGTGGGAAAAAGGGAGATGAAAGCAACAGCTTTACTAGAATAGGGTCAGGTATTGTGTAGGCGGGCCGCTATTCTCAATATTCTCAATTACAAGAACCATACAATGGTTCTTGTAATAACCTTTCGTTTTTAATGATTAACTTAATGATATAGACAACAAATAAAATTGTTAACCTCAAATATTTCCTGCGTTTACAAAGAAACACAGAATATTTACATGACCTCATTTGTACGGGAATCACACCTTCTCAATTTATAATTATTTAATGCTAATCTAGAACACTAGTTTAGTTTCTCCTGTTTTTTTAAGTTTGTATAATAACGAAAAAAGTAGGAGAGGGGGGATCCCCGGACAAATCACTTGATTACAATGATTGAACTTAAAAAAACAATTCATATTCCCTTTGTTCCTTGTTTATCTTCAAATAGCTCAGCCGTAATAATCGTAAGTAGAGTTCGGTGTTTAAGGTACATACCAATAAAGCCCGCAAAGTAAACCCCGAGCCGGATTCATAAAAGTCAGGGGGAAACAAAAAAAAACAACACTCAAATATGTCCGTAAAAAATAAAACAAATATTCTTAAGTTTCTTAAAACTAAAAATTCATCTACAGCACCCATAGCAAACCCAAGACAGAAAAATGAATAAAAAAGAAACTGACAGTACAACGTGGTTAGTGTCTATCCCTTTGTTCGCGCCATGTTCTTTTGTGTTTCGGTTTTCGTTGGTGGGATCCATCCGTATTATTGGAGGTTAGGGCACTGAGTTTTTGGGAGAGGAGTTGCTTTGTGTCTGTGAAGAAGGTAATGACGTGTATATAAGGTTACTTTCTTTTTAATAAACTTCAAGGCTGCATTTGTGACCTCGTTGTATTGTCCTTTTTGTTTTGGTATTATTATTTCTTTGTTTCAGGTCTACTATGAATGTCATTCCCCAGCTCGCTTGTGTTTTTATTCTTCATCTACGATCTTATTTTGTGTTCATCTGGAACACAACTCATACTGAACACTCCTCAGTGCTTCTTTCGTCCGGAGCAACATTTCGCATTTCGATTTATTCTCTTATCGATACCGGGACACTTTTCCAAGTTTCGTGTCACACGGGGGTTCCCTGGAGGCTAGGGGATCAAAACTTCACACCGGAAACGTGGTAAACTACACTACGGAAAACACACACACACACCGAAATACAGAAAAAATATCCCCTTTCCCTAGACATACACACACGAAAAATAAGTTCTCTATATAAGGCGATCACTTTGAAAGTTCAAACGGAAGGAAATATATGTGCCATACGTCAGGGCATCGTTTTATGTCCAGGTTCGGAAACACGTTAAATAGCACCTAAGATATCTGCGTGACGCACGCCGGACGTATTTGTGTTTGCATCGTTCAATTTTCGACCCCGAGCCATAAAGGTGTTCTCGGCTCTACATAAAGCCCGTCGAATGCCGGGCTTCCGTTTTTAACCTTCCCTGGGTGGCGCCTGTTTATTGTCCTTGCATTCACACAAAGACACCGCCGGGAGCATAAAAGATAAAAATGTTGGCGGGGCGTGTTTTTACAATGTCCGAGATGGACTGGCGGCTCGTAAAGACGACCGTATATACTGTCGACGATAACAATTTTAACGGGACCTCTATTTGTAGCGTGCGATAAGAAAAATTACCCCCCCCCCCCCTTCTCCCCTCAAAACAAAAATGCCCACCCTAAAACAGCTCCGAGCACTAGCGTGCTCTTCAATGAAAAATACGTGCACCGGGCATATTGTTACGAGGGCAGGAACAGAAAGCAAGCTCAGCTTTGCGAGCGAGTTAATTCCGGGGCGCGCTTCTATAATGAACCATTTTGCAAATGTCAACGCTGCCGTTAAGCACCGCAAAAAACCGTGGAGCTGCGACCCAGCCTACATGGCTTAGGAGATTGCGTTTTTATTGCTAACCACGCGTAAAACGGGAAAGTATAATTGAAGTCACGTTTACTAGCCCATATCACACCTCCCCTGTGAGCGCATGTACTATAACTTAAGAACTGCAGGAGGTGAGTGATTATGTTCTCACTTATTTAA